AGGTTGCATCTTAATCCCTTGTACCACCAGAGAGGCCCTAGTTTTGTTTTGTTTTGTTTTGTTTTTAAGGCATGTACTAGACCACACAAATTAGGGGAAAAACTTGATCTCTCACCACTTGCCAAAGCTGTTCTGGTCAAAATTACCAAGGATCATCAGCCTCCCAAATGCCTAAACCCAAAAGTCTATTTTTAATTGTCATCTTACTTAATCTACCAGCAGCACTTGACAGATGATGTCTTCTCCTGGAAACACCTTCTTCACTGGGCTTCCAGCTCAGTAGTGGTCCCTTGTCATTATTCTTCACTTCCTCTTTCCCACCTTCTCTATTTCTAAATTTGGAACACCCCAAGGCTCAGTAGCTAGACCTCTTTTCTTCCTGTATTCATTGCCTTGTTGAGCTCACCCACTCTGCTGGCTTTATTTTTTTTTAAGATTTATTTATTTATTTATACAAGCACTGGGTACAGTCAGAACTGCAGGAGGGTGAGAGAATTCACCAGAGCCAGAGCGGGGAACAGAACAGGCAGATTGACGAAGTACACTGCTGAGGGGAGCAGCGGGCACGGCAGGAGAGGTCTGTGCGCCATGTGGGACCCTCCCCTGGTGCTGCAGAGGCTGTGGGCAGCTTCACTGCCCAGCGCTCAACTGCAGCGCCACCAGGGAGGCCCCACTCTACTGGCTTTACATAGTATTTCATTTCTTCCAACTCACAAATATCTACTTCTAAATTACTTTCCTAAAAACTTGATATGTGTATCAGACTACCTAGGTCCTTAAAAAGTATCTTAATCTTAATGAATGCAAAATGAATTTCTGGGCTCCACTATCCCAGTCCACATCTCATTTCAATGAATGTGCACTCTATCCGTTAAGGTTCTGGGATCCAAAACCTCAGAACCCTACTTGACTCTCTTTCTCTCATACCCACTATCCAATCTATCAGAAAATCTTCTAATCTTAATTCCAAAATATATTCACAATTCAACTCCTTCACATTACCTCCACACCATTTTTATCTTTGTCCAAGTTGCCATCACCTCTCATTTGGCTACCTGATATAGAGTCCTAATTGTCTCCGTATTTCTGCACTTGATTACGCTGAATCTCAACTTAGCAGCCAGTCACCCCATTACAACATTAGCGATCTCAGGTCAATCATTGTTTAAAACCCTCCAACCCTTCTCCATTGTATAAAAGTCCCAACAATGTCTCCATGTGATCTACTCATCATATTCCTATTTCCTCTCTGACCTCATCTGCTGTTCACTTCACTCCAGCCACTATGCCCTCCTTCCCTGGATGTTCTAGGCACTTAACTTTGGCACTACCCAAACACTCCTCTACCTGATATAACATAGTTTATTCCTTCACTTCCTTCCTACAAAGGCATCCTTTATCAGATGATTGAAAACCACAACCCCTTTCCCTCCTGCCCCTTACCTTCCTCTCCTGGAATAATATTCTCAGTAGTAAACATTTTGCTGTCACTAGTATAACTCCAAGAGTTCTGAGGTTTTTATTTTGCTCACTTCCATGTCCTCAGTAATTAGAATAATGTCTGGTATGTAGAAGACACTAAGTAAGTATTACTAAAATGAATGAACAAGGAAAGGATGAATGAGCAAAACAGATTTCATAGATTCATGCTACGTATACTTCTATAACACCTGGATCTTCAAAAGTAAGGGCAGAAATATCAGCAAAATTTTTAAGGATGGCTGGCATTGTAAAAAATCAGTACATGTAAGGCCATAAAGAAGAAATCGGAGTAAAACTTGAGAACAAAAACAAGTACATTAAAAAAAAAACCTCATAATAAGCAAATAAGTAGAAAACATACTCAAGATATAAAAAAGGATATTCAAGTAGTCACTTCATAGACTTACAATAAAGTCCAAAGTTAAATAAGTGTATTTCATTTACTAAAGAGGTGCTTTGTAAGTATTGTATTCATATGTAGAAGCCACAACTGAGTCTTGAGATTTTCTCATCATGTTTGTTTATCAAGAATATCTTGGTAGTGTTCTGGTTTTAGTAATTCAAGCCAAGCCAAAACAAATAAGTTTTTTAAAAGCAAAACTAAAACTCAATATTAACACTATATGGTAGCAATTTTAGAATTAACAGCAGATAGAAATATTTAAAGAACTTGATCATTTTAAACTACAATTACAAATTATTGCATTCGTACTGATTATACAATGACATGTATGGTATATAATCTGATTAAAATAGATGTCTATAAACAGAAAATTTTTGATATAGCTAAGGAGAATAAAGAACTTTTCCAAATTAATATAGAAAAATTCCATTTTTTCTGCTTAACATCGCTTCTATACAACTATCTGCTAGTAAATTACAAATGAGAAGAAGTAATACCTTCACATCCCCATCTTTCTAAGAGTAAAATGAATATAATCCTCCTCAAACCAAATAATCACTCAAAGATAGTGCATTTTGCTAAATTACATATTTCGAAAATGAAATCCAACATTAAACTTCATTCTGCATGAAATGCCATTCTTCTAAGTGTCATTTATGCTAACTCTAGTTCTTTACTTAAATAAAGATCATTCTATAAAAATTAATATCAGAAAAGTATTTTATCAGCTATAGTATTTTATTTCCTCATGAAGAAACCACTGAATCATCGCTTTATACTTTAGCTGAACAAAATTTTTGAAACCACATTTTAAGTGTACCATCATTGATAACATTAAAAATAGAGAATTTGAGTGACTTCCTTGTCGAAACTTGCTATTATCTCAATTTACAGCAAATTCTGTAAGGAAGTAGAAAGGCTCCCCATTAGAAGATGAATCCGTGACCTTCAACCAATTCTCACCTGTACATAGACATATAATAAAAGGTACAAAATAAATGTTTATTGAAGCTAACTTTCCACAATAACTGGATAAAGGAACAGAGGGTAGTTTTTTTGAAAAATGTTAAAATATGTGATAAGTTGGGCCTCCCTGATGGTGCAAGGGGTTAAGCACCGCACTGTGAAGCAATCCGCAGCCTCTGCAGCACAAGTTCGATCCCCGGGCCGGCCAGAGAGAAACCCACATGGCAAAGCAGACCTCTCCTGTCTCGCCTGCTGCTCCCCTCAGCAGTGTATTTCAGTCAGTCTGCCTGTTCTGTTCCCCACTCTGTCTCTGGTGAATCCTCTCACTCCCACATCTCTAGCCTGTACCCCAGCTCTTGCATGCATAAATAAATAAATCTTAAAAAAATGTGATAAGTTGCATTCAAACTGACTTTGAATATTTCAGTGAATATTTTTGGTTCATGAGGCTTGAAACTTTGCAAGGCAGTCAACAAAGAATGCTAGAAGAATCAAAATGCCACCAATTCAACGTGACATTTTATTTTATGTTTATAAATGCTTAAGTGTTGTCGCATATATATGCTTTATGAAAATATATTCCCCAAAACGATACTATGGCATAAGGATCATGATCACCACTTACAAATGAGGAAACTGAGACCCAAGAAATTCAAGTCCTGGCCAAGGTGCCCCAGTGAGGAGTTACCTGGACCAGGATTTGAACTCAGGATGATTTCATTCCAAGATTCTTTCTCAAACTCTGAACTCAACTCTGGTTGGCCTATACAGTTCCAAACATATTCACTCCAGATATTTGTCGGTAAAACACTTGTTGGACAATAATACTTTACTGGCAGATAAACTTTTGTTGAAAGTATTGAAGGGTCTCTGACCCCATATAGTTCATTTTGCTGAAAGTAAAATTTAAAGTATATTTCCTGAACTACTAATACTCCCTCAGCTAAGCATTCAGACCGAATAATTATTATTAGTACATAAGAAGTTTTCTATGTCAGTATCTCCATTGTTCATCAATTTAAAAATAAACTTCACAAAAGAGGATACATCTTAGTTATAAAAATAATCAACAAATCACAGGATCTTAAAGTTAAACTAGTTCTTAAAGTTTCCTTAGCCTCAACTTCATTTTATAGATGATAAGCCAAAGCCCGGAAAGATTAGGTAGCTTGCCCAAGTTTATACAATTAGAAGGAAGCAAATTACCATACTTTTGTCTTATAATAGGATAAAAATATTTCCAATTGCCTATTAATTTCTTTGACCAGATCTTAACATTTCTCAATTTGAATAACATATCAATGATTTTCTCCATGTGCAGGATTTAAAATCGCCTTGAACTTTAATCATTTTGAATATCAAATTCTACAAATTTAATCATTTCAAAGCAACCTGTCTTAACAAAGAAAAATCTTACTTTCCATGGCAAGCAATAGCTAAACAGGTAAAGTAAATGATATCAAGATACTTTTGATGTTACCAACAGTATTTATATGAACTTTTAACTGCTTCCTCAAAGATGACAAATGGATTGTAAAACTTAGAAGGAATATATGACTCTTAATGACCACCATAAAAACTTGATATATACCATAAAGATTAAACAAATTCACAACCTCTATTGTTATTAGATAGTGAAAGTTTTCATTTTGATGGAATTTTTACTTTGTATTGACCACCAGTAATTAAAAATTCATTTATCTCTGGACCATTTTTGGGTTCCCTTTACTAAAATGTAGTATCCAAAGTGGGGGAAAAAATGTAAACCGAACAGGTTCTGCTAATAGAGAAAAATTTACTGAGATAAATTATCATAAATAAATAAAATAAATAAATTATCATAAATAAATAAAACAGGACATGTGCCTAATGGGGTCATCCCTGCCACATAACTTTCCTTAGTGACTATAATCCACAATTACTAAGGGTGCAAATACTGAAGAACACATCGCAAAATTAATAAACTTTCATCAGAAGTTCCTAAGTCATCATTCCAAATTAAAAAACAATGCAAAAATCAGTTCAAAACCACAAAAAGCCAAATTAATCAGCGACTTTGATCAGCCAACAGCTCAAAGGAACTAGACAAGCCCCTAACACCATAAGCGCCAGCCCTAAAATGAAATGTTTATAAAGTAAAGAAACATACCTTGTGTAAGGCGGAGAATTCCCAGTAATCAAATGCTAGTAATCCACACAGGCAAGGCATCCTCAAAAGTCCCAACATTTTAATTTTCAAGTAACTCCAAGTGAAGAAGAAGTTTGTTGACTTTTCATCCAGGGATGATTTCACCTTGTACTGATAGTTCCATAGTGTTCACTGATAGAAAGATCCAGTAAGAACAATGTAGTGTGAAGAAGGTCAGCGCAAGGAGGGTCGCCAGCAGTGGTGTGATGCCTTCTGGACGCTGAGAATGACAATTCCTCCTATACAATTGAAATTAACTAAGGTTAGCTTCTAAGTCATTCTGCACACTCAGTTTCTAAAAGAAAGCAAAGGTCGCATTTTTCAGCCTTTGACACAAAAATCCAAAAGGACATAGTCCTGGTCCCGAAAACCACTTCTAACTGTGCGTTTTAAGGAGTGGATTCTACCACACAAAGTGGTAACTTCAAGAAGTTTTAATAGACTCTATTTCCATGTTCCCTCCAGTGACTAGCGGCACACGGAGTAGAAAATTTCATTTGTCTTGTCAAACTGCAAAGAAGGTGGGTTTTTAAGTCCCAGGGTGTGAGGAAAGTTCTCCAGGTCTGGGGTGGGGATTGGAGAGCCAAGTGGAGAAGGGTGATAAATGACCTTGGTATTTGGAGTGATCCCATTACGCATACCTGAAGATAATGACCTAAATTTGCATTGTTGAATTCAACAAGCCTATTCCACGCATTCCTCATATTTAAACACCTTCAACTGCCAAAGCAGGCTCCCTTGAGCCCCACTTCTGTCCCGAAGATGCCCTTCTCTCAAACAAGTGACAGGAGAGCTCACCAACTTTTGTGGGCGAATTGGAAAAGCACTAGAAGGCATTTCCTACAAAGTGGAGGCTTTACTAGTTGCGAAGGACCCCACTCCTCTGAGCGGGAACGAACCTCCAAACCCTGCAAAGTGAAGCCACTTGGAAACTAAGTTAGGGAGTCTCCATTTGCGCAAAAACACCGCAGGATCCGCGCTGCCTCTCTGCCCTTAGAAGCTGCTCCAGCCATCCCGCTTTTGGGCGGGCGTGGCAGATAGAAACAAAAGGTTAAAACACAAAAGGCGGGGCGGAAGGCTGGGTCTGGGGAGGTTCTGGGCCTCGCGTTCCCCTTTCTACTCCAACACTGCAATGGTGGGGGGCGGGGTGGGGCAGTTTGAGGGGTCCCGATGGATGGATCGCAGGGGAAGCATCGGTTATTCTGGGTGGGTCGTGGATCTGCGAGGGGCGCACGGGACGGCCGGCTCTAACTAGTGGTCCAGGCCCTTCCTTCCATCCCAGCATCTCTGACAGCCGGGAACCTGTGGCTTCCTCCTCCACCCGCCCACAGCCCCAAAGAAAACTTTCCGAACTCTTACCTGCTTGCTCCAGCCCCCTGGACTGCAAATGCAAGAGTCCAAGCCCCTATCACCCCAACCCCTGCAGCATTCTATTGTTGCAGCCTGGGGGTGTTGCGCGGTGGGTGTGCACAACATTCCACAGACAGTTACGCTGCAAAACCGTGAGGAAGCGACCACCTCGGTATCTCCTGCGTTTGCTTGACCCAACTCAGGGCTGGGGTGGGGTGAGGCTGGACGGGTCCCCATCCATTTCAGCACACTTTCCTCGGGTCTGCGCGCAGCTGGGAGAAAGTAAGGCAATGCACCCCGATGCGCCCCCTCTTTTTCTCCCCAGTGCCCCCCCCCCGCCTCCTAGCTGCCTGGCATGGACCTATTAAAAATCAACGCATTAAACAATCTGTCCAAGTTTGCTAAAGAACAAAAGAGAAGAGAATGGGAAAAGGAGGTGCAACTTGCCAGCCAAAACTTCGCCTCCGGACTAGTCCTCTGTCTTGGGCAGGGCGGGGAGCGCAGAGAGGGAAGGGGGGCGAGGTAAACAAAACAACAACCCCACTACTCACCTTCTGTCCCACTTGGGCGCACTTTTAAGAGACATTTTCCTCGGGGCCATCTGCGAGGCGCTGGGACACTTTGGTGACGCCTGACAGCGGGGAAAGTGGCCGCGGCCAAGTTGCGCGAGGGAGATACCCGGGCGCCCGGGGGAGAGAGGAGAGTTCATCAGAGTTCCCCCTTTTGTTCCAAGTCCCGGAGCAGACAAAGAGGCGGCGAGCGGCGGCAGGTTTCTGCCTCTCACCCCTTCTTCCTCTCTCCCTCCCCTCCCCTACTCGCCCCCCCTCCCGCTCCCCGCATCTCCCGCCCGGCTTGGGAACCTCCGCGAAAAGCTGGGGCTGCTCAGTCCCCAGTTGCGCGCAGCTCTGCCCCGACCCTCTCCTCCCACTGCGTCTCCCCAAACTTTCCCCAGGAGATGCCCGTCCGGGTGGCCTCCCCAGTCAGCACCCCCTGCCTGCGCCCGTCCCCGGCGCGCACTAGTCTAAGAGCGAAATCTCCAAAATCATTGTTTCCGGGAGATGCACCTCTTTGTTTGCACTTTCCCTGCCAATGACTGTGAACAATCCACTTTGGCAACGTGTTTCTGTGTTTCTATCAGTTTGTCCTCACCCCAAGAGACAATGTGCGCAGGCGGGGAGGTTGGGGGGGCGGTCAACCCCAGAAAATAAAGGCACTTACACAATCAGAGGTGGGGCGCTGTGCAAGCTCTTCATCCTCGTTTCTCCACTCGGAGTCAACACCCCTCCACCCAGCGCACCAAAACAACTCCGAGGGGCTCCAAGTGTTGGAGAATTCTTCTTCCCTGCCCTCCCCCATCCACCCTGGCCCTAGGGAGAGCCCCCTAATCTGCAGGACAAAGCCTGGCTGCCGGTCCAGCCCGGGCCTCCACCCTCGCTGCTACCTGTTGCTGCAGGCGCTGCGCAACTCGGCCCCAGGGCGGCTCCCCCAGTGCCACTTCCAGACCCAAACTTGCCCTGATCTCCAGCCTCGACGGCAAGGCTCTTTGGATGGCCAGGCTCCCTCTGCCTCTGGATCCAAGCCCTCCTCACCCGGTGCCTTCCCGACAGCACTGCATTGTCAGAGCCCCACGGATCCGACTGGGGGACCCCAGCCGTCTCCCCATCTTTGACCCCCAGGCTCAGGCAGAGCAGCCAAGGGGTCCCTCTGTCCGTCCCCTCCCCCACGCCCGTGCCCCGGGACAATCAGGTGTCCGGGACGAGCAACATCTCCGGCCCCTTCCCAGGTCCTAACCCAGTGGTGCCCCGACCAGAATTGGGAGCTCCCTCCTCTCGCCTCCCATCCCTGTACCCCAACTGCAGATCAAAGCCTTGGCGCCCTGAGTGACTCAGAGCAACGCTCTTTCTCCTTCAGAGCTCGCTCAATCTGAAGAGGAAGAAAGCTGACGAAGAAGGATGGGGGTAGAGTGGGGACCCTCAGGAGGAAATAGCTCCTAGGGCCAAGGTGGGTAAAAAAATCACTCCCCTGCGAACCCACACCCCCGTCCCCCAAGGGTTAGTGTCCAGCCCAGCGCACCTTCCCCTCCACGCTCTTTATTTCTCCATCCCAGACTTGGGCGCTTTGCAGACTGGTGAAGTTTGAGGGTAGAGGGATGGAGCAGACGGGGGGCTTGGGAACTTGGAAGCTGTGTTCTGCGTTGGGGTTGGAGATGGGGGCGGGGTGGGAGCTACGGAGGGAGCAGGGAGCCCCTGCTGCGTCCGGAATGTCGCGGCCGGCGGTCCCCCGACTAGCCCGGCAACTCCTAGCCAGGTCTCTCCTCCGAGCAGAACAAAGACGCCGCGAGGAGCGCCTCTGCCCGCGCCTCCGGGCGCCCGCACCCCGCCCCGAGCGAGCCCATGCCGCTCTCGCAAACTTTCTACCCAACTTCCCCCAAAGTGAGCGCGTGCGGCTCGGGAAGCAGGAGAAACCTGGGGACAGTCGCACCCCAGGACCAGAGATTCCCCCTTCCCTGCCCCTCCGGGACCGGATCCCCACGCCGTGCGCCTCCGGGCTCAGCCCGCTGCGCGCAGGGACCCCAGGGGCACGCGCTGGCCCGCGCCTTCAGGGACGCAGCGAATTGCTTTAGTGTGGGCGCGTGCAGGGCTGGCTCGCGGGGGCTCGGCGGAGAGGTGCGGGCGTGGGAAGGCGCAGGGCGGCGGCCGGGGCTGCGGGTTAAGCCGATGGCGCAGGAGCCAGCGCGAGGGCTGAGCCGCGCCCGTCGGGCCGAGTTCCTGCGCGCCCCGTCCCGCCCTCCGGTGCCAGCGAGCAGCCGCGAAGCTGCAGAGTGGGAACTCCGGGCCCGCCCGGGGCCGGCCTCGCCGCGCGGGTGCCTCCTCACCTGCTAGGAGCCCCGACCCTGCGCGGCCTCTCCACGAAGCCCTGGGTCTCCGGGAGGCCCCTGGAGTACGGGCAGCTCCCAAGTCTCAGCTAAGGTTAGGAATCCTAAACGCACCACCAGCAACCACAAAGGGAAAACAGCCCCCACCCACTCCTGTCTGGCACATTTTCCTCTTTGTTTAATTATGATGACTTCCAGAATTCTCTTTTTTTAGGAAAAGTCTACCGTTCCCCAGATAAAGCCTTCCTTTTTCCGCTCTCCTCGGGGATCCGCTTGGAAAATAGGGGGAAAGTCAGTCTTTCAAGACAATTCAGTTCTGCTGCCCCTCGGAAATACTTGAGTTCCAGGGACATGAACTAAAAGGGTCGGTGAGTTCTAAATAACAACCAGTCCCCCCACTTACTGTTACCGTGGACTAGTTGAATCGACTAAGACATTGCCAGTACTTGGGAAATGTTCTCAAGAAGGTAAGGGGAGAGGTCAGTTTGGTCATTTGCTAGGTGAGAAGTCAATTTGGCTTTAGAAGCTTCCTCCCAGCTTCATGAAGCACCTCTGCCAGAGGGGGGTCTCCTTGGCGAGCACAGTAATTGCCTCTAAGAATCTTGGTTCTGAATGGGTCGAGCTCCCCCATCTCCACTGTGGGGCCAGATAGATGACCTACCCACTGCTATCTTTTATTTTTTTTTAAAGATTTATTTGTGCATACAAGAACTGGGGTACAGGCCAGAGGTGGGAAGGGGGAAGTGAGAGGATTCACCAGAGACAGAGCGGGGAGCAGAACAGGCAGATCTACTGAAATACACTGCTGAGGGGAGCAGCGGGCGAGGCAGGAGAGGTCTGCTGCACCATGTGGGTAGCCCCCTGGCTGGGGATCGAACTCATGCTGCAAGTGGCTGGTGATAGCTTCATAGTGCTGAGACTTAACTCCTTGCACCACCAGGGAGGCCCCTGAGGGCGTTTTCCTTTGCAGCTCACCTGGTATCCTGAAAGCAGCCTACTGCTTGCATGGAAGACTCTGAGCTTTTCTTTGGAATGGAAAAGAGCCCAGCCTGGTTCATGATATGTATATATTAAATATGCCCCCAGGGATAGCCATGTGGGTCACCTCCCTGGCCCTGGGGGTAGAACTCCTGCTGCAGTGGCTGCCAGTAGCTTCTTAGTGTTGTGTCTTAACCCCTTGTGCCACCAGGGCAGTCCCTCCTACTGCATTTTACTGCCTGTCTTTCACCTCTCTGTTTCTCTATTCAAGGGAGACCTCACTTTGGGAGTTCAGGGGGCAGACTAGATGTGTCAGGCAGTTAAGTCCCCTTAGACTAGCCCTTGAGGAATCAAGGATGGCAGTAATATATAAACACCCCAGCATCCTCACCTGGACATAGGGCTACACTAAGTTCTACTCTTCACTGTCCCCCAGAGGTCTGGAACTTTGAATTTCTGCTACCCAGAGCAGTAACCAGCTCCTTAAGGAAATGTATATTGGCTTCCTTCCTTGTCTAGCTCACTCCCCTACTAGTGCTTTCTAGAATCACATCCCAAATAGACAACAGCATTTCTCCTTGTAGCCCAGCCCTAGGGACAGCTTTTGGAGTTGAGCTTCTCAAAGTGTAACAGGGTGGTCCCCAGGAAAGGGGGAAGTTCCAGGTTCCCTGCCCCACCCAGGGGAGGGTGGAGCTGAGCAGGAAGAGGAGAAGCTGAAGAAGAGACTGAGGAAGGAAGCAGGATGGAGCCAGGAGACCTGGAAGAGGCGCATGGAGCCTAGAGACATGTGAAGAAACTGCGCTTGTCTTTTGGTCGTGGACTGGGTGACACAGATGTGGGTGAGACCCATGGGGAGGTGACCATGGCAGCTTTTATCTTGATGTTGATTTTGCTCTTTTCCTTCCGGGCTTGTCTGGTTGTTTGTGACCCTTTTCTGTGGGTCCCCACTGGAAGATGTTTTAGACTTGTGGCAGGCTTTGGGGCCTTGCTCTGGGCCGACCCCATATGGATGGAGTTTTACCCACGAGGGGATGGGTAACTTTGGGTGCTTGATTTAGAAACTATATTTTTTACCTTTCCTGTATTGTTTCCTAATTGTATTAAAGTTCCTTCCCATTAAAGTGTCATATGTTTTGTGTTGATGCGGCGGATGGCAGAACCCATTTAGAATAGGCAGGTTTGCGGGGTTTGGGCTGCCCCTCTCCCTGTCCTATAACAAAAGAACTAAGAAACCTTTCATATATGTGCTTGCTTTTTTTTTTCCCTTGTATATTTCACTTTATTTTTTTCAATTTAATTTAATTTTATATAATCCTTCCATCAGTTTTCATTTTTGCACAATGTATGCATTTTCATCTTGGTTATAGTCCCCATACAATACCCACCCCCTTTATTTTGGCCCTAATTCCTCCTCTCCTCCCTTAGTGTGTCTCTGGTTTATAGTTGCTTGTTGATAGAAAATATTGGATTGGGCCTCCCCAGTGGCGCAGCGGTTGAGCGCTGGGCTGCGAAGCTGCCTGCAAGCCTCTGCAGTGCAGGTTCAATCCCCGACCGCCAGGCAAGGGTCCCACATGGCCCTCAGACCTCTCCTGCTGCCCGCTGCTCCCCTCAACAGTGTATAGTCAGTCTGCCTGTTCTGTTTCCCACTCTGGCTCTGGTGAATTCTCTCACCCTTCCCCGCATCTGACTGTACCCAGTGCTTGTATAAATAAATAAATCTTAAAAAAAAAAAAAAAAAAAATGAAAAAAAAAAAGAAAATATCGGATGGTCTCACTAACAGCAGGAATTTAGAAAACCTAAATAAGGGACCAGGAAAAAAACTAATTATTAAAAAAAAAGACTAATTATAATAAAGAAAAAAATCAAAATCATATATGTGCTTTCTAAAGCGATGAATCCAATCCATTTAGAGAATG